AGTGGAATCCAGAAAGCGTGAATATCAATATTAGGATATGGGTACATCCAACTGAACCAATCCTAAATAGGATGAAACACTCGTTCTAGATTCTACTGCTAATCATCATCCATTTTTACTTATAAGTTTTTACATAAATATATCAATAATTTAAATCATGAGTCAGTTGAAACTAGACCACCATGAAAAACCTGGAAGCACTAGACGGCCGTTTTGTCCTCGTATGGGACTCCTGAGTGGTAGTGCGCATCCACGATACTCCCTCCTCCAAGTTTCCCTCGGTGGTCTAGCTGTAATTGACTCATGATTCAAAGTATTGAAATTACTAAGATTTCCACAAAACCCCTTCTGACATAAATATATATTCACTGCCTAGTTAGACACTTTTATTTATCATTTATTCTGTTTACCTGATGATCAGTTTTTGTCTAGTCAGTAAATTGCTAAATCATGGGATGATTAAATTTGTTTTAGTGTTGGTTTCTCATTCTGTTAAACAACATAATTTGATTTGTTTTGTATTCGAAGTCAACATTTTATTTCGATTCATTTCTAAGATTGTTTATTTTGTGCATTTTAACAAGCATAATCTATGGCCAAAGAATGTAAAAGTAATCAAAAACAGTAGAAATTATTGAGGACTCTTCAGTGGTCTCACAATAGAACGAAACAACCGTCCAGTGTTTCCAGTTTTTTTTTGTGATGATCTCAATTGTTAAAAATTACTATAGAAACATCTGCAAATAACCCCTTCTGATAATAATTTCAATTATTTTAATGATTTAATGCAAAGCTATAAACGTTGTTTCAAGAAGCAAAGGAATTATTAAGAAGGAAAATAAAACTGTATTTTCTTCAATTTACTACTGTTTTTTTCTATAAGTACTATCTATTGTTTCTTTAAAAGTAACTCATTTACTGAATAGAGAAATTTGTGTAGTTGATTATTTGAGGTTTACTCTACCGAACTTGAATCCAACTCATGTGCAGTGACTTATCGATCGGATTAATGACACGTAAAACACATGCGAGCAGCCTAGAGTCCTTCCTGCCTAGCCCTGTCTCTTAAGTCCAGAACACTAATCTCAGCCTCCGCAATATAAATCCTTATATTTCAAACATACTGAGGTTTATATACCAGTCAAAGAGACCACGATGTACCAATAAAATATGAAACAATATTTGTACAAGAATTAGCCAGATATGGCTGTGAGTGAGGGAGGTAGTAATTAATATACTGGGTGTAACTCAAGAATGGTAAATCGTATAATCATAGTTTATAGGTCAAAATAAAGCTTATAATAAGTAGAATATGAATATGCATAGTTTAGTTACTTAATAATTATACAATAGAGATATACGTTTAGTATTGGTCCATCAATAGATCCCAAAAGGTTATCATTCATTATGTTTCTCTAGTCCTAACATCTACAACCTACGAATGAACAGTAGAATGTCTAAACCTCACTAAACATTATCTATATGATAGAAAACTAAATATCTACTATCATTTTAATATACTTTTATTGGTAAAATCAACATTCAATATTGTTTTATTAATGTTGACATTGAAATGAGCAAAGTAACATGATCATTGTTTTTACTTGTATATTTATTAAAGATACAAATGAATGGATGAATCGATTGGTTGGTTGGTTATTATCACAGGATTATTGTATTATCCTTGGTTTTCTTTTGTGCTTTTTTCTAAACTCAATATTTCTATTGAACCTAGAAATATTGAATGAATGTGGTTTCGTGATTTCTTATTGTTGATATTCACCAATTTAAGCTTCCATTGTTGTATGTTATACATTGAGCGCGGATTACGCTTTATGTAGCTTATAGTCACAAATTTTATTATATTTAATCTCTAGATTATAATTGAATTTAGGATGTAATTTTTTTGTCGTATTCAGGACTCTTCAGCTAAACATTACTTACATCGGAATGTTGTTGTTCATGCAGAGATTCGAATCGGTTTTGCTTAAATGTCCTATTTATCACCACTAAAATTCTCAACCAATGTGAACATCAACATACATTCGGCTAACTAGTACAAAATCGACTTAAACTTGTCACATACCAAATACACTAGTTTAAACTCAGTTAATCTTAATTTATGGATATACTGTTACTATCGATGAATTCCATTGTCAAATGTTCATTGTTCCAAATTGACCCATCACATTGAGCACAGGTGAATATCAAATTAGTAATATCACTGACAATGAAAAATCATGAAAACAAAGGATAAAAGATAATAAGTACGAGACTGATGATCAAGCGGAAAGTGAGTAGTGAATTCATATCTATTGCAGTGCAACCTATTCTGAACCATGTTAGCGAACGTCTTCAACCATTTGGCTACGATAATCGTACATTCCTCACCCGATTAGTCTACATCTCTCAACATGGATTAGACATTGGAAGAAGACCTGCTATCAAATTTTTTTTGTCAAATAACCTCTTCTATAATTTTCAATTCTCTCTTTTCTCGTCTTTTTATACTTACTTCTTAAATAATCTTATTGATTTCCATTTATTTAATTGGTTTTTATTCTGATCATATTGAGTCGTTATACAATAGATTATTGATTTCAATGGCTCAGAACATGAGTCAATTGAAACTAGACCGCCATGGAAAACCTTGAATCACTGGACGGCGGTTTCGTCCTATTGTGAGACTTCTCAGCAGTGCACATCCACCGTTGGATGCCAACTTAGTGGTTAAGTGCTCGCGCGTAAGACCAATAGGTTCTGGGCTCGAATCTCCCAGGGAGCGGGATCGTGGATGCGCACTGCTGAGTAGTCCCACAATGGGACGAAACGGCCGTCCAGTGCTCTTAGGTTTTCCATGGTGGTCTAGCTTCAATTGACTCATGATTTCAACTATTGAAATTTCTATACTTGATTATTATGCATTCATATGCATGGGTGAGACTATAATTTATGGATGACCTTTGTACGACGCTAAAGTGACCTTGAGAGTGTCCACATACTTACTAGGGCTAACATAAGGATTATAAAACAGTTTGAAGAATAAAGATTATGATTCACAGTTGATAGTTAAGAATTAGATTTAAAGTTCTCATCACGAACTGATATCAGTTAAAATGTCAAGATGCTATTTGGTCAATTGAATGAATGAATTTCTTGTCGTAAATCAAAGACTTATTATTGTAAATCTGTTGATTCATTTATAAATTATAGTCTTGCCAAATTGTGTTTTGAATTAATCTATAAACTAATTAAGCACTTAACTTTAATTGTTCTTTTACATTCATGTTGTAAACAAACAATAAAAAAAAATTTTTATTCAATGACAAGTACTACTATTTATTTAAAGTAGTATGAAATCTATTAGAAGTATCTATTCATGTATTCAAGTTTCAATGAGTTTTTTTTTTTTCATTCTAATTTGGCATTGCTTTCAAACTGTTTATACGTTTTTCGACTAGTTCAAATGTTGGTTCGCTAATTGCTTGTATATATATATATTAGTATAATTCTGCTGTTCACATCTAAAATGTTTAGGATACTGTTATCATTCTTATTAATTCATCTCCTATGGATGACTAGTGTTAGTTTTTATGTATTTATTTTTTGAACACATAAATACTGGTAAAATGGGGCACCGAATATATATTTTATATGCGACACAAGTCACTTGGATTGTCTCAGGATTGTTGTTGTACTGCCCGAGTGCTCAAAACGAAGCAGGTGGTTTTCTTGGTGGAGGGTCACACCTTAAGCCTTCAACCTAAAGGTCTAATCCATGAGACAGTGGAGTAAGTTTAGGAGATGCAGTCCCATGGCAGCCAGTGATCAACAATGGATTTATACGCCACTTGTTCCGTCACGATACTGGAGCTCATGTAGACCTTTAGTTTGGAATCAAGGTTGGATGGACTCCATATGTTCATCAACCCGGTTAAATCGTCTGACATTCTCTTTTCGTGTTGTCAATTTCGTAAACAACAGGAATGCTGCGAGAAGACAATGATTAGGACTTCTTTGACAGTGGTTGTATACACGTGGCCATATGAGAGTATTTGTAGAGGAAGAACTCACTCTCCCCACCCTAAGTCGTACCAGGACATTTGGGGACATGAGAATCTATCTATCTGTTGCATAAATATATTGTTTAGTTAACTTTGTTTGGATATATTAGAAAGTTAATTATACATCGAATTGGTTGGTATATTTGAGAGAATAAACATAATCTCAATCTGATTAATTGATATTTTGCTGAATGAAAATCTTAACCAAATGTATTCAATCTATGCTTAACTATTAGGATTGATTAAGTTTATTTGTATTGAATTTATGCATACTTCTCAAATTTAGTTGTCTATTCATGTGAATAAATACTTTTACTTTACTCATTCTGTACCTTGAAGGATATGAATTTAATTTTAATATATCCTTGCTACACTTTAAAATGTCACATCCATACCACTGTCATCTCATTGTAAGCGATTAACTTATGTAGCCAAAATAGGATATTGTGTTCGTCAGCTTACAATAACACAATGATGAGTATTTTTAATACTGAAACATTTAGTCAACTTCATAAGTGTATCTAAACTTTGTCGAATTATCTTATTATTAATCGTTTATGATATATCCCTTGAGAGACTATCACTTCATTCTAGTTTGTTGCTCTTCAGTCAGTAGTGTCCATTCAAGATTTCATTTTGTGATCGAACTTAGTATGATCAAGTTTTGAAGCGTGCACAATACTTCTAAATGTTACTAACATGAAACGGTTGTTTTGTTTAGTTCTCAATTCCTAACTACTTTTTCTATTCACATTAGTTGACTTTTGTAATATGTATCCCTAGAAATAGAAACATTTCCATTAAACTACTTCATTTACTCAAGTTTGTTAAGGGGGTGGGTGGCTGTTGTTTGTTTATTTCCACTGACTTCTATAATATTCAATATTTTATTTGTTTTATTCATGTATCCTCTTTTTCACCTTTTTGTAACCATAGTCATACAAATCATCATAATAATCGAATTATTTCTAGTATACAAAAATCCAATCATAAATATACTAATAACACTAACTTTAAACCACATAGAATGAGTTTATTGAAACCAAATAATAATGAAGCTGAATTAACTGAAGAATTGAATTCATCTAATCGATTACATTATTCTTCATTAACCCATTCTACATCATCATCACCAACAACATCATCTAGTCATCCATCTACAACACAACAACAACAACATCATCATGATAATGATGAAGTGAATTGTGATGATGATGACGATACGATGAAATGTCTTGTGTCAATTAATCCAGATCCATGGATAACTATGGAACCTGGAAAACAACAACGTAAGGATTTGATATCAAAATGCAAACGATCATTATCCAGTGAATTAGATACTAATAAATTAAAACAACACCCTAGTCCTCTTCATTATTATCCGTATCATCATGGAATTGAGTTTCCTACCAATAATAACACATCGGCTAATAATCAGTCTATCGCCGCTGGTTGTGGCGGTGGTGGTAGTTATCAAAGTAAGTTTTACTTTACTTCTTTTCTCTATTCCTTTTTCTTAGTTTTTACATACTAAGTGTTCTTATTTCGATTGGTCAGTCTTCTATTTTGTTATACTGGTCTACTATCAAACAAATAGTTTCATTGTTAGATAGTTGAAAGCAATCGGCAGTAAAATCCTTAGACTCATTTTTCTTGGTAGTTGCAAATTTCCAGCAGGATGTATGTACAATGTTGAAGGAACTAAAGCTTGGCAATGACAGTTCAAATTCTGTTAGAAGTACCAGTTCTCTCAAGATTTCAGATAGGACTTACTAACGACTACCATCTACCACGAAACTTAGTACTAGGATTCACTTCTGACTATTGCAATGTAGCACCACGCTGTCTGTAAAAAATATGCGTTATATACGATTCTACGATGTTGGCATTACTTCTATGTAATTAGAAAACCTTGTTTTTAAACTCACAGAACGTTCAATAGTGTTCTTGGTTTGATCATCTTTTTCATTGTGGAAACAGTCATCTTCGACAGTAACTACGTGTAACTAATAGTGAGGTTCAGTTATTCATGTTCTAGCATTGTTGAGGCTATCATTAAATTGATTTTGAAGCATCAACTCAATTAACTTAGATATATGTTAAGTAAAACAACACTCCTTATCTAATTTCACTTAATACCACTGAAATTAAGTGTTAGATTATACTTGATTAGTTTTCGTTTCTTTATCATAACTGTTTAGACGAGATTTCAAAGATTGTACAATTTTGTATATGATATATTTGTTTAGCGACTGATTAACTGACTGGATCGTATTTCAACAATATAAAAAACTGTTTAGAATATGTAATAAAAATACTTTCCAAAGTAATCATATGATCAATATAGGTTATTTTTAATCCTAGTTGTAAAGATGTTTAAAACTTTTCCTCTTACTAACTACCAATAATATCGTTGGATGCTTGCTCACTGGTCTAGTGGTTAAGCGTTCGTGCGCGAAACCGATAGATCCTGGGTTCGAATCATGCGAGGTATGATCATGGATGCTGAGGAGTTCTATACTAGAACGAAACGGCCATCCAGTGCTTCAAGGTCTTCCATGATAGTCTACCTTCAATTGACTCATGATCTCAACTGTTAAAATTACTATAATATTCACAAAACCCCTTCTGTTGTCAATAATCAGTTACAATGAGTGTAGACTGTTAACTGCAAACTGGTTTTATTCATAAATCTGATGTAGATTTCATAATATATTTATAGGAATGAATACAATTCTATGTTTCTTGTTGTAATTGTAGTGATAGTTTATCTTTTTATATGTACTTCGTACACTTTTTCATTTGTTTTCCTTACTCTTTCAAACATCGTTACACATTCTACAGTTATTGTTAGTGTTTATCTGTGTGTTGTTGATGTTGTCTAAACACATAATGTTGAACTTGAACATATTCTCAATTTCTGGCGTGCACTAGTTTTGCTGTGTTGTAGATTCTTAGTGTTTAACACTCACTAATGATGTTGTATCCTTAAAGAGTTAGTAAGGGTGTTTCTAACTTATAACTCATTTTAACATTTTTCAATTTTCATCAAAATTACCTATGGCGAAGGCGAGATATCCGTCTATCAATTAAGGGACGAGTATACTGCTGTTTTACTTTACAGCTGCGAAGTGTGGCCATTAAGCGTAGATACTTGTAAGCTACTAGTATTTGATCACATATGTCTTAGAAATATTGCTTACATCTACCGGGATCACTGGGTAAGTAATAGTGAGATTAGACGAAGAGTATAAGGGAATGATGATAAATGAGTTGATGAGATTGTCAATCTTTATCACACGTTGCGTATGCCTGAACACCGATTGCCATGACGCTCAATGCTGACTAGTGTTGGGGATGGTTGGAAGAAAGTTAGGGGCGGCCAAACCAAAACGTATTATCAGTGCTTGAAGTCACTAACGTCTAATCTGAGCCATGTTAGTAGATGCAGACTTCTTGGTTGGGGTCCGTGCAACTATCATAACCAATGGTTGTAGACTGTGTGAAATGTGTATACACCCTATGTCTTCCCTTGAACTATGAGAATAAATCGCTTCATATTTTTGTTTCTATGAACTAACTCTTTCTTCCTGTACTATATTTTTATATGCAATCTTTCTTTTATGTATTACCACCATTGAAGTGACTACTTCTATGAATTTGGTGTTCATCTTGTTGAGCTAATGCGGTATGACAACTTGTATCGATGTATATATATGCCTGGTCTTACGTTGTAGCTGACTGACTCACTGAAAATTATAATAAATATGTTTATTATTATATTTTTCTTTTCTTTTATTTTCTGTTTTATAATTTATTCTATTGAAGAATAATAAATTTTAATTGTTATAGTAATGCTCTTGTTTTTTGATACTCTCCATATCCATTGACTAACCCTACCCACTTGTTTGAACATAGTCTATTGGTGTGGCAACTCGAACTGATGTACGTACGTACGAAGTTCTACGTTGTTACTGACTGACTGACTGACTATTGTCTTACAGCTATCAACAGTTCTAATTCGTAATAACGAATAGATCTTGTATGAATAGAGAATAATCAAAACTTATTTGAATAATAATACATTTATTGATTCTCTATGTTAATCATTTATCAATTGAGATGATTATTACAATTTTTTCTTAATCCCAAATCTATCTAATATTCTTGATCGGAATGATCTGATTTATAGTCCATATGATCGATTGACTTTATCTCTGGTTCAATGTTAAATAATTACGATTACTAGACAAATATTTTCTGGTATGGAGTTCTTTAATATTAGAGATTTATGACCGCCTTATTAATGGTTTCATAATTGAAATGTTCAACACTTCTATTGAATATATATATATATATATATATATTATTTAATATATAATATATAATATATATATATATATCACTTTGATATGTTCATCAATCTGAGTCAGCAGTTAACGCAACGAGTAAATAAATCAAATCAAATATGTTAACTCATTAATTCAAATAGTAATATACTGGCTATAATGTCTCAAATGCTGCTGTTATCTAAAACTTGTTAATAGATTTATCTTTATTTATTATTTATTTCAACACATAAATATTGGTACAGGAGGGCACCAAATATATATGCGCCACAACATATTTGTGTGTGTGTGTGTGCTGTAATACTGCCCGGGTGCACAGACCGAAGCAGGTGGTTTTCTTAGAAGGCTACACCGGAGCCTTTGACCTAAATGTCTGATCTCCAATGCAGTGGAGCATCGTAGGAGATGCATTCTCGTGGTAGCCGGTGACCAACGATTGGTTCAAACGCCATTTGTTCCCTTAGGATCTTGAAGCTAGCCCATGTGCAAAATTTGTTTAAAATCAGGGTTTTCCAACTCCCCTAGGTGGACTCTCCGTGTCCAAAAACCCAGTTGAAGTGCCGAACATTCGCTTTTCATCTCTCATTTGCATAAACAACACCCCCGCCATGAGAATTCAGTGAGTAGGACTTTCCTGGCAGAGGCTATATACTTGTGGCTATATGAGAATATTTTGAGAGGGAGAGCGAACTCCCCACTCTCGGTCATACCAGGGCATTTGGGGGCACACTGAGAGGGAATCTAGTGTAAATATTCATATAAGGTAAATTAACGTCCCATACGTGTGGTTGAAGAAAAACCGACCGTTATAACGTAATCTAAAAAAATTTTCGTTATTCTCTTCCGACACTTTCAGTAGTGGTGCATTCGATATACTCATCGTTCAAATTCAACATCCCCAGTTTTTGATTGGGCTTATAGTTTGTGAGATGAAGCATTCCTGGAAGAGTTTCCAGATCATCGACCTGGGTTTTTTTTTAAAAAAAAAATAGAAGATAGGTTATTTGTTTCCTATCATTAAATGTTAATTTTTCCTCTGTAATAAGATAACCTCAAGCATATTTTTTCCCATTCACATTTTCACATGATCATGCTGTTTTCTGTCTTGGTGACTATCACTTTTAGTTCACTGATTTTCTTTCCTAAGGTCATGTTTTTACTGCTATATATATATACACGTATACAGAGTTGTTTAATTTCAATTGTTCTATGTGAAATATCAAATTTTCTATACTGCTGTACTTATTTTTGGGTTCTATCGTTAAGGGTTTACTATTGGAAGGGAGGCATTGTGTGTGTGTGTGTATGTGTGTGCTGCCTTATTGAGTTCATGGTAGATTCTCTTCGTAAGTTATCATTAGATTGAACCAAGTAAAATTTTCAATGAATTCACTCGTTGTTATTTCTTTTTTTTTCTCCTCTTTATAATTTGACTAAGAATTAACTACATTTAAACTGTGTTGTTCTTTGTTTTGTTTTGTATGTAATGTATATTTGCTTGTTTGTTTGTTTGTTTCTTGTAACAACGTGTTAATGATGTCATTTTTAATTGGGAATTTACTGCACAAATTTTTTTTGTTTTGCATAAACTACATGTTATCTATTTTCAGTGCTTTTTGTATTACACCACCCCCGCCCCCCTCACCTACTTTGCACACTTACCGTAATTATTTCAGTAATATTTTGATAAAGATAAACGAATTAAATGCGTGTATATATATAATTTTTATTTACTAACTTACCATCTTCAGTTTTAGTTACATTTCATTCGTCTTATTAATTGTTTATTGTTTGTTTTATAGAAAACCGGAGTCGAACCGTGTTGCCTCGACCTTCCAACGTCGAAAACTGTGGTCATAACTTCCGACATGCATAAATTGAAAGCTTCAACTATCACAACTCCATCATGTACAATGTCATTATCACCATCATCCTCATCAATAACAACAACAACAACAAAAACCTCATCTCCACTGACAGTTACAACGAGAATAATAAATTGGAAAACAACTACCTCATCATCACAATTTAAATCATCTGATGAACATCAACATGATCATCATACTTTTTATTATAGAAAGAATGAAAATCAAAAATTATGGAAACCACGTCGTTTACATTTTGTATTACGTCTCCCTATTATTGGAACTGATCCACATGTTTTATTAATACAAATTATTGAATTAATAAAACGTTATCAATGTTCTTATGAATTTCTTAGTTCATATCGTATACGTTGTACAAAATCAATGAATCCTTCTTCTTCTTCTCTCATCAATCCTCTCCTTGTTCAAATAATAATAATAATAATAATAATAATAATAATAACACTATTGATGATGTTGATGTTGACCAACAACTAGAACACTGTACACTAATAACATCATCTGAACAACACCACCCCCAGCAACAACAACAGCCTCAATTGTCTTATCTCATTCATTTAAAACATAAAACCAATTTAATCATATGGGATATGGAAATATTTCAATTAGCTAAACCAATTAATTATGGTGTAAGATTTAAACGCATTTCAGGCAATCGTAATGCATTCAATATTATTATGAAATATTTTATTTTACATACTACTAATATAACTTAAATTCATATTTACTGAATCTATTCATGTGTATAACACTATGTATATGTATCTAGTTGTGTTGATTGTTCTCTTCCCCCTCCCTCTCTCTCTCTCTCTTTCCTACCTTTATCCCTTGACATATTCTAACTGATTACATGAATGTTTTAGTTCATGTAACCATGTCAACATTTACCACTTCGTTGTTGTTCTTATTATTATTATTGTTGTTGCTATGGCTGTTATTGTTAATATCATCATTACATTTAAGCTTCTTCTAATACTATTGATCTCATATTTATTATTGTAACTAAGTAAACGATTATTTATTTCATATAAATAATATAATTTTCTATCTTTTAAAAATTGACTATTTAGTAATTCATTCAAATTCCTAATTATGTTTATACTTTTAACCGAAACAAAAAACAAAAAAAAGATAGAAAACCATTATTGTCAATGTGTTGTAGGTCATTCAAAAGAAAACCATATTCATTTTGTTGTTTACTTGTTTGTTTGTTTGTTTTACCATGTTCTTTCTTTCGAATAGATTTTTTTTTATTTTTATTTTAAACAAATAAACATCGATCAATGATATTTTATTTGTTTATTTTTCCTTTCTCTTTTTTTCTTTTCCTTTTTTTTTGTTGTTGTTGTTGTTTTTTGTATAATATTATCATCACATATATGTATTTATGTATATTGTTTTCTTTTCTTTCTTTTTTCTCTTTAAATGATTCACTTTTCGTCAACTATCTTATTGTCATGTATATGGATGTGTTTAAAGTGTGTGTGTGTGTGTGTGTGTGTGATACCTTAGTTACAATTGATTTTCCACTATATAATTGTTCTTCCATAAGTTTGGTTTCCACTTCCTCCCCCCCTTTTTTTGTTCTTATCAGTTTGCTCATCTAATAACTGATTATTTATTTATTATTCATAATATAACTTGTAATTATGAGAATGTAATCATAGATTCATTAAGCACATGATCTCATTATATGTCAGGTTTCTTATTATTATTATTTGTTTTTTTTCTTTTCATTGACCCCGGTCTTTATTAGTTGGTTTGGTTTTTAATCTTTTGACCGTTACAATCACATATTTCTTTTCTAAAACAAAGAAGAAAACACTTGACTTCTGTGTGTGTGTGTGTGAATGTGTGCAACTATACTTGTTTATCTGTGTAAACTTATTCTCATCAAAGTGTTCACAATATACACATAGAAATGTGAATTAAAACTACCAATTTGTGTATTCTTTTCCCGCCTTATCAACTATATGGATCAGTTGAATAAACATGAATGATTAGTAGTAGTAGTAGGAGGAGGATATGAATTTGTAAGGATGATATACATTTCTGTTATGTTCTATCTATTTTCACTTATGAATTATGCTGTTATTTTCATGTCATATAGTATAGTTGCTTTCTATGCTATGGATAATTATTGAATTTATTCAATTCTCCTATTGTTTGTTTAGAATGATTCTTTCAATTCCCCCCTTTTTGTTTTTTAATAATATCATTCTATAGAGGAATTATGTTTAATGTCTCTTTACTAGACTCCTTTGTATGTATCTATCTCTATTTATATTTATGTATGTATTATGTAACATGTATATGTGTGTGTGTGTATGTGTGACATTCTATAGTCATTTATTCATGATCATACAAAGGTAACCTTTTTCATTTTGTATGTAGGTAAATCTATGCTAATTCTATTGTTACATTATTTTGCTTTGTTTTATATTGTGAGTCGCTTTTGTGTGTGTGTGTGTGTGCTATAGATCCGGTCATCGTTTTGTTCTTATTCGAATTCTCTTTGTAAAACAATATTACTTATGATATATATATATATATGTATTTTTTCAAACCATGTTGTTGCTAACATGCCACGTTCTCCTCCTCTGCTCCATCCACCCCCCTTTATTCATCATTTTACTATTAACAGAATATTGAAAAACTTTACAAAATGATAAAAATAAATAAAATCTGTTTCGCATCGTTATTCTTTTTATGGTTTTTGTTTTTTTGTTTTATTGTTTACTTTTCTTTATAAAATAATATTGAATTAACCATCATTTCATAGATACTATAATTAGGATTACATGAATATTTTCATAAGAAACAAACTATTCAAGATTATACAAGGGTATTTTGTGTTCATATAACAATAATATGTTGAAACGCCGGTTCACCAATATGTTGAAGGCTTCAATAAATAATATCCTGTAAATTGAGTATTTAAGGTAGATAGAATTACAGATTTACTCGAGATTATTCAAAAGCCTGAACACCAGTGGTAGAGATAATTTATTGTTAATGATTAATAAAAATCCACAAGCGTACAACAAGCAAGCACACGGTGAAGCCAAATAAAAATGGTGCATAGTGGAGATGGCTGGTAAGCTAACTTGCCTTTAGTCAAGCATTACTCAATATTTATAGTCAGACAAAATAAAACTACAGACATGTGATTAATGGGATAAGAAGGGCACACACATATACGCTCATATAAAAACAATCAAGACTAATAAGCGAATAACTGACAAGGTCAAAATATGGCTCAAGTAAAATGAATAGAATGGGATGTCCGAAAGCTAAAATAAGGTATATGGGCTTGGCATAATAACTGACACTACAAATATCAGTCGGTCAGTAACAACGTAGAAATTCGTATGTATGTATATCAATCCGAGTTGCCACACCACATTAGCACAGAGATGCAGTTGTCGATTTAAATCTCATAGTGGTAGAAATAATAAAAGTACAAGCAGTAATCGGAAACATTAGGGTTTGAAGATGTTAATCAAGGAGTATAATCCAGTGAAGTGAATTTGGGAAGAAAAAAAAATAGGAACATGAATTCAGAAGATTAGAATTTGGGAGAACACAAAGAGTGGATGCACCTCCGCCCACCATTGCAAACCATTTTGAGCCATGTCATTCAAGGTCTCTAACCATCAGTTGTTATCGTCTCGCAGATCCCAACAAGGTAGTCTACACCTACCAACATGGCTCAGTCCACTTGTCAGTAGTGACTTCATGGATTTGTGCCATGTTTTGATCTGTTCTCCCTTAGCTTTCTTTCAACCTACTCATACACCATAAAACATCGCGCGTCAATGCAGTCGGTGGTTGGGAATGCATAACGCGTGTCCTAGCTATCTCAACTGATGAAGTTTCACTACTTCATCAATTGATTTGCCATCCTTACCTAGTACCCGTTTCCTAACAACTGTGTTACTTACTCGATGGTCCCATGATATACGAGCAATGTTTCGAAGACACCTATGATCAAATACTAGTAGCCTACGGATATCCTCTACTCTTACCGGCCATGTTTCACTGCCATAAAGTAGGACGGAACGAACTGCTGCGCAGTAAACCCTTCCTTTGGTTGATAGACGGCAAAAGCTAGTCGAGCCTTCTGTATCCGTGCTGAGATTTCGTCACACACTAAACCACAAGGGCTGATGAGACTTCCAAGATAAGTGAAGCGGTCGACACACTCAACTACTTCACTCCCTATCACTAGTTCGGGTGTCGATGTAACCCAATCCTGAAGCAACATTTTGCATTTCGAGGGAGAGAATCGCATCCCGAACATGCTTGCATTGTTGCTTAGAGTGGTCAGAAGACTCTGCATTTTGTCAGCGTCTTCACCAAATAAAACTATGTCATCAGCATATTCTAAGTCAACAAGTGAACCTCCCGGTAGAAGTTCAACCCCTGTAAATTTAGATGAGGAGAGTGTTATCTCTAAAAGTACGTCGACGACAAAGTTGAACAAGAATGGAGAGAGTGGACAGCCCTGACGAACACCACTTGAGGTAATCAATTCTGATGACAGTTCGCCATAAGCTCTCACTCGACCAGTTGTGTTCGAGTAGAGAGCCTTTATAAGGTTAATGTACTTCTTTGGTACTCCTTTCAGTGACAAACACTGCCATAGAACCTCACGATCAACAGAGTCGAATGCCGCCTTAAGGTCGAGAAATACTACCATTGTGGGGCGTCTGAATGTGTGTCTGTGTTCTAGAACCTGACGTAGTGTGAATATCTGATCTATACAACCACGTCCAGGTCGAAAACCAGCCTGATTTTCTCTAGTCTGTTCTTCACGAGCTTTGGTTACCTAAGACCTCGGTCAATCTCGCTGCTAATACTGGACCACCATCCTTAAAAATCTCAGGAGTAAACCTGTCAGGGCCTGCTGCTCTCCTTCGCTTCAGATTTCCTATGGCTTTTTCAACTTCGTAAAGGGACGGAGGACCTACATTAACTTGCCATTCAG